GTGGCATCATTGATGGACTCGGGTGTGGCAGCGGTAATGAGGTTGGCCCAGGATCGGACATTGTTTTGTTCTGCTGTGCATGGGGTCGCTATGAGTCGGTTCCGACTCGATGGCACCTGACAACAACAACAACTACCAAATCATTGAGAATCCTGGCCCAGTCAGGTTGACGCAAAACCTTAACTATCACAAGTGTGTTCTTGATTCAGTATTCTCTACTGGAATTTTTTTTGACTGTATTAGCAAGTTCCCTTCCAAACTCCATAGGTTCTCTGTCCTGTCCATAATCAGAGTGTCAGAATTTTCTTCAGGTTAAAAATACTTTGCCTTTTTTCCTCACAGTGCCTTCAATTTTGATATTGATATTGAAAAATTATTCCTGAAGAAATGTCTATTGCTGCAGTATTTAGTGTTTTGATATAACTTTAGTTTTAGTGTGGTGCTGCAGGATAAGCTGAACTTTCAGCTAACCACAAGGTTGGTGGTTCAAACCCATGAGCCACTCAGAAACCCTATATAGTGTCTCTATGAATCAGAACCGACTCAACACTTACCAACAACATAGCTTATAAAGGAGCCCTAGTGATGCAGTGGTTAAAGCACCTGGCTACTAACCAAAAGCGGTTTGATTCCAACAGCTGTTGGGAGGGGGAAAAATATACAACCTTGGAAGCCCTATGGGATAGTTCTACTCTGTTCCATAGGTTGCTGTGCATCAGAATCGCATCAACAACAACAGATGTTTGTTTATACTCCTTACAATAATGAAATTGTGTATACTTTTTTAACATTCAATTTTAAGGCTCTTGCCAGTGAGACCAGTGAAGATGAACTTCCCGCTGATGTAGATATGAATGACCCCTACTTTGCTGAAGAAGTTAAAAAAATGGGTAAGTCGGCCTATATTTGTAGTTTTCATTTGAAATAGAAAAGAGCTGACATAGGTAGAAACAATATAAGCTAGTCCTTCATTAAAAATACATAGAATTTATACCACTTTCAAAGCAGGTCTCCCCTGTGAGGGTATAATTGTGATTAGAATGGAAAGAGTGTGTCCCTGTCTGTGTTGGAGTAATTTCTTTGTAGGAGGTTCTTGGTAACATGGTTAATTTAACAGTTTACTGAGCTTCCTTTCTGGGAAATACACTTGTAGAAAACCAGATTGATTGTTTAAGGCAGTGAGAGTAAACAAAGAGGATATAGTTGTTTTGTTGCTTTCATTATTTTTTGTTTGTTTGTTTTTAAGTATAAAGCATCTACTACGTCTCTCTTTACAAAAGCTCTGAAGAATTGATAGTGTGAAATGAATGTGTGTATGTTTGTGCAGATGTGTTTATAAACTTGTTTATTTAATTCATGTATAGATTTTGGTATAAAAGCTTTTCTGCCCAGATATACAAACGCATTGATGTGCTTTTGTTTCCTTTTTGCATTTGTCCTGTTTCATTATAACCATAAGCCAGCTTTTCTCTTAATTCTCTTTTTCCTTGAATCTCATTCAGCTATCTGGTATATAGTTTCCTGTATCCATTAACCTTGTTTCCATGCTTATGCACCATTTACCCATGTTCTTTCCTCAGTGCTTTCACTCTTACCTTTTTGTTGTTTTTATGTGCTATGGAGTCGGTTCCGACTCATAACGACCCTGTGTGCAGGGTTTCCTAGGCTGTAAATCTTTACAGGAGCAGAAAGCCTCATCTTTCTCCCGCGGAACATCTGGTAGTTTCAAACTGCTGACCTTGCGGTTCCCAGCCCTATTTGTAACCACTATGCTACCAGAGCTCCTTCTTACCTTTTTAGGTATGTGTAAATATGTGTGGTAAGGCCCAAGCCATACTTGAACAGTCCATACAGAGACCGCTGCAAGCATTTTCCATTTGTTCTCTTGCATTTTGCCTTTACCTGATCTTTATACCACACATATGAACTCCAAAAGACTTGATCCTGGAACAACTTCAAATTGGCTTATAAAGAGAAGGGTTTTATAAAGTTTCTCTGCATCTTATCCCTCATGACTACTGAGCCAGAGCAGGTCTCAACAGGAAAGTCAAAATTGCTGAAAATTATTTCCTGGTTGTTATAGTCTTTAAGCACTGATATTTTATTGATGAAAAAGAGATCAAGATGAATAAAATGTATTGTAGGATGTGAGTTTCTTGAGAATTGGAAAGGGAAGTGGAAACTTAGCGTATTCTGTTTTTTATCATACCTTAGTGGTCCTTTCTAGAAGATGATGGATTTTAGCCTTATCCTCTGACCTCAGGAAAGTAAGTTTATAATAGAGAAATGTGGTTTTCCTTGTTCTTATTCCAGAGTTTTCCATTTGGCAGGTGAATGAAATCTAGTCAGATTTCAGAACTCAGAGTAGAATTAGAAAAGTAAGTTAAATGATTTGATAGTTTGGAGTAGTCTCTTTGTTTAAATGTGTACATTTAAATTGTAAATAAGTGTTGTTTAAAGTTAGTATCAAAACTTCTAAGGGAAGAGAGCTAGATAAAGTAAGCTTTCTTTCCATATGCTTTGATTTCGGAGTGTTTTCTAAGAGTAAATACTTTATATTTGGGTGTGTGCTATGTTTCAGAAAGGAATAAGAATAACCTGAGAATTCTGTATATTGAAAAATTAGGACCAAAAAAAGTTGCAGTTTGTTTATTCATTCTATCAATAAATATTCTTGAGTGCATACCAGGTGCTGGTCATTGTGCAGGACTAAAAATACAGCGTATTGAAATAAGTAAATTGCATCTTACTCGGAGTTTGTGTACATTTCAAGAAGGCAGATGTTAAACAGGTAAACCAGTAAGAATTTTATCAGAATATGGTATATGCTCTGAAAGAAAGAAATAGGACATTACAGAGTATATAACTAGGGTGAGAAGTGGATAAATAAGTTTGTTTTACATAAGGTAGGCAAAGAAGGCTTTTTTGAGGTGAGACTGGTAGAATAAAGAGTTTAGCATAAAGAGTTGGAGAAAAGAGTATTGCAAACGACAGAAAATTTTTTTGTTGAAAAACTGAAAGACATCAATGGGACTGTAGCATGGCCATAGGGAGTTTTCTCTGAGATAAACTTAGTGACATAGGCTGGAACTGACCTGGCATGATTTTGCATGGCAACAGATTTGGATTTTAATCTACAGGTAGATAATGGGAGCCACTGAAGGACCTTTAAGCAGAGTATGACTTGAATTGATACGTATTTCACAGATTACTCTCATTCTTATGAGGAGCAAAGTTTAAAGAAAAGCATATGGAGACAGACTTGCTTATGTATTTGGATAAACAATAAATTTATTAAGAGACAGTTACAAACTTCAACTCAAGATGAGTGCAGACCTGCTCCTCACAGCTCTTCTCAACTATGCAAGGCTCCTCTTAGCCCCTACACACAGGCCTTTCCTTGACACCCTCAGGACAGGCAGCTCTTGGCCCTGCCATCTGTCATCAGTAGCTTTGCCAAAGAACCTATTCCAGGCCTCTCCTGCCAGATCTGTTATTGGATCCCTTCCAGGTCCATTGTTGTCTTTAGTGTTACAGATCTTTTAGGGACTTCCTTGCCTCCCCTCTCTCTTCTTTTGCTTCTCTTACCTTGCTTTTTCAACTTTTTCCTACTGCTTCTTTCCTGAATCTGTCTCTCTGAAACCTATGTGGGTGTGGCTGTTTTATACACCAACTCTTAGTTAATTTCAAGTTAATATAACAAACCCTCTGGGGTAGAAAACTAGGGCAAACTTATAAGGATTGAGGGGAAAATTCAAGCTGTTTTCACCACTTATGTGTATTAAGATCTATAATTCTTATCCCCATTCATTTATTATTTGATGCATAGGACAAATTTGGAAAATTAATATTTTTCCCAAGAAACTAAAAGGATGTTCTGTGGTTTACAAAAATATTTAGACTATAATGCAGTGTTTTGAAGGACAGAGACATTGATTATATTTTTGCTAAAGACCATCCCATAGAGGTAAACTTGCACAGCCTTAAAAATATGAAGGAGTTGAGCTCAGTGAATAACTTAGTTAACTTAGTGTTCAACAAGTGCAAAATATGTGTATAATTTTCCGCCTGTTGTTCCCCTTACTAATTAACAATTGCAAACTTGTTATGTTTCCAGTTTTCTTTTTCTTTTTTCCTAAACTACAAACTTCCTGTTAAATGAGAATTTCAAAGTCTGTGTTTCTAGAATATGAGCTAGAAAGTTATATTTTCCTTTTAGAAATGAAAATTTTTTTAAATTGCTTATTGCTATCTAATGTATAAGCCCTCCTTAGTTTTTATTGTTAAGAAATAGGTCTGCAATAAAGTATATCATTTAAAAACATACCCTATTAAACTGTATCCTTTGTCTTGACAACTTTTAGGAATTTGATAAACTACCTAAAGATCCAGTTACTATGATGCACATTTGATTCATTCAGCTAATCCTTACCAGTCCTTTCATTGTATTGCTTACATGATGTTTTATAGTTGACAGATGCTTTTTTATAAATTAGTCCTCTAATCCATACTTAGCCCTTTTTATAGATGAGCAATCTAAAGCTCAGAAAACAGTTGCGTTGTCCAAGGACAGGTTGGTAGTTGGTAGACTTGAGTTCTACTGGACTTCCCTTTAATTTTCATTACAAGTACCTTATAAAAACTGAGGCCATAACAAAGGCACAGATGTATAAGAGCTGGAACTGAGGAACTGCTGGATTTCCAAGTAAAGCCAAAATGCCCTGACCCGTAGGAAGATGACTTAATAGAATGTATAGAATGTATATAATGACGGTCTACAGAGCAGATCCTTTGTTTCACGCTCAACAGATCATATGCTTAATTTTCACTTAATGATTGCAATTCCCTCAGTGTAACATCATTTACCTCACTTACTTCTCCCTGTGTTTCTTCTTTCTTTTCCTCATTTCTCCACCCTTCTAAATTTTGTCTTTAGGTAAATGCTGCCCTTTTGCTATTGAAAGGCTAATCATTCTATGGTGTGCATTCCTTACTAATGTTGTTGTCCAGTCCTGCTGTTTCTCTTCCCCCACCCAACCCCCATGCCCCGCCATGTACTGATTGCATGGCTGAACATTGAGCACTGTGGGTGAGTTCAGTTCAACACCTAAAGGGTGACTAAGGGTCATAGTCTTCAAGTTTCACTAGTGTCTTTCTGGCTTATATGCCCAATGTGGTGTGTTTTTTTTAATGATTTCAAGTTTGGTTCCATATTTTCTCCCACTCTATCCAGAACCTTTTAATGTGATCCCTTTCAAAGGAGTTGTTAGTGCCAGTGGACACCATCTAGCTCTTTTGGTCTGTAGTGGACACTGATGTTTGTGTGACTAATTAGTACATTAGATCAATTGTTTCTGAATATCTTCAGTTTTTATCACTCTTCTTTCCTCTGGATAGGAAGAGACCAATTATTGTACCTTAAATGGCCACTCATAACCTTTTAAAATCCCAGTCCTGATGTAGTGCTATGGGTCAATGTGCTGGACTACAAAGTCAATTTGAACTGCAAGTTCGTGGTTCAAGCTCACCAGCTGCTTTCTCGGAAACCCCTTACAGGGTTGCTGTGACTAGGAACCAACACAGTGGCACTTAGCAACAACTACTCACCAAATTAGGATGTAGAACATTGTCTTTGTGGACTGTGTTATTGTCAGTTGACCTTGGTGTCTCCTGAGAGTATGATCCTGAGTCTACAGGCCCAGCAAATCAATCCCTGAAGGTGTTTGGTAATATCTAAGAAGTTCTCATAACTGCCCTCTGTATACTCCCCCACCCACCCAGCTTGTGTATCGCTGTATCTACCCATAGATAACTGTCATTACAGGATTGCATATTTAACAGTATTTACCTCTGTTCCCTTTACTCTTGCCTTCCTCTCCTTGCTTTTTCT